CAAATATTCAAAATTTAATGAATTGATGAAATTCATCTATATTTTGTAGCATTGAAGGATGTTCCACTAGATCGTGAACTTGAATGATGTTGAATGTTATGGCTTTGATTAGTTTTATTAGAAACGACAAAAAAAATCACTATGGCTTTGATTAGTTTTATTAGAAACGACAAAAAAATCACTTCTTACAGAAAAACTAACTGATCTATGTCTGCCAAAAACTGATAAACATGATTTCTAAAATCTAGGTTTTCATTTTATAAATAATTTACCTGGGACAGTTCAAATAAGCAATTTTATTGACAGATCATTCAAACAGAATAATTTGGAAGTAAATCTTTAAACTTTGTTAATTATTCCATAAGTCTAAAAAGATATTTAATAAATATTCTCAGGTTGCAGACTATTATTTAATTATTATTATAAGTTCCCCGATATATGTTCGGTCGCAATTGAATCATTTAATTTTATAAACTAGATTTCTAAGATAACATTTCTGGAATGCATTTTATATGGCTTATTAAAAGTTTTGCACATTTATATTTTTACATTTAGATTTCAATAATGGTTTGTATTTGGCTTTTAACAATATGCTTTTATATTTACATAATGAACAATTTTCCTGCACAAAGGGAAATTATAACGATCATTCGAAAATGGAGATAAATATATGTATATGAACGAACAATGTGGTTTATTCCATACAAATTGTGGTCTTGATATTCAATATATAAATAATATACCAGGGATGGTTGAAATGATAAAAAAAATGATTTTTAGAATTTTTGAAATATTTCAGAGACAACAAGGACTGAATTAATATATTTTTAGTCTCTTCGTCTTCAATCCTCTGGTTAATAAGCTATTTTCTATTATAAGCATATTTTTTATCCTTATTTTCTAGTGAAAATTGACATCACTACCGCATGATATCAAGTTCTCCAGAGTGGATATATGCGTGTATATGTATATTATGTATATTGGCATCATTTCTTTTATATCTTACATTAACAATTTGTTTTCCCATTTTCGCAGGCAATAAACTAAAATTTGATTCGTGCGATCTCTAAGCCATTAAATCCTTTATAGCCCAACAAAGGAGCTTTCTCAAAGCAATTCCCTTTAACAACTACTTTAATATCCCTGGAGCAAAAGGCTCGTCTTGTTCTCATTTCAATGGAAAATCGAATCTTAAGAAAAAGATAATAATAATTCATAAAAATGAGACGATACAATCTTTTCTCTCGGTAATTGGAGCAGACAATATGAGAATAATGATCCACTGGAGCCTAATAAAAAGCTTTAATAAAAGCTTATGTCTAGGATGTTGTATATGAGAGGAGCTTTTGTAGCATGTGAAAAAAATTAATACAGTTGTACTTGAAAGTAGGAATTGCACTTCTAAGATTACTTTGATCTAATTGAGAGGAAATAATCATGTGCTAGTTTTGTTTCTAGATGGAGCTACTGTTGGGTCGGGATATTCTTATTCACAGATTTTTTTTCAAATTATTTTTTAAATAATTTTAATTCAAGAAAATTTAAAATAAACACTGCCTCATGTGCATATCACAATTTTAATTTATTATAAATATTTTATAAAAAAATTTCTATTTCTTATTTACATCTTGACTATTTTTCATATGAAATTCTATAAAATACCATTCCATCGGTTTTCTATGCCAAACCAACAAAAAATAGCAATTCAGAAATCGAATTTTCCTGGATGCAATATGGTAAAATTAATATAATAAAATATCACATCATTGGATTGGATGCATGCAAATTTATAGAAATGTTGTGAAAAGGCTTTTGCAGCCAAGAAAATATTTATTGAATGAAAATATTTTTTAAAAGTAGAAATAGGTAAAAGAAATAACTGAACTGTTTGAATTGTATATATTAGTTTGAACTTTAATCTATATAAATGGAAAAATAAGTCTTAGTTATTGATGGTATTTGTTTCATTAAGATCTTTTCCTTTGGAGGATTCAGTTGATTCAAAACAGCCAAAAATAATATTTATGAAAAAATAATATAAAATTTGAGTAAGTACACTAGGATTTAATCCTAATTAAAACCCTTTAAATATATAGAAAAAGGTGTAAATTGATAATATTTACTTATTCGTTTCATTTTCTTGCACTTGAAATCATTTTTTAAGTTTGTTCTGTTTGGAGATTGAGACCCCGACATGATAATTATAAATAAATATATATTAAACGTAAATAATAAAAAAAATCAAGCACGTAATATGTATATTAGATTCAGTTGCTTTTACAAAATTAGTAGAAAATCTAAAAAAAATATCGAGAAGAGGTAAATGCAAAGAAAACAAGCATCTTTCGAAGATTTGTCTCCAAAACTGCACCACACGTTAGGCGCTCAAACTGGTAAATTATTTTTTCATAAATCATAAGTTTATTCTGTGAATCTAAACAAAAGGCTTAAATTTTTCATAAAAATATAATTTTATTACAAGTTACTCTAGAGCTACAAAAAATATGCCTTTCCTGGCCATTTTACGTACGTCCAAAAATTGGAAATTCAATTGAAAACTTCGCCGTTACATGAAAATCACAACACAAGGTGGAGGGCAAATATTTTTAAGGGTAGGTGTGAAAAACGTGTCTTTTGGGGTTTGGAGAAATGCAAGTGGATATATAAATATACAAACATATATATATATATATATATATATATATATATATATATATATATATATAGGGTTGTATATATTCCTGGTTTATAGGGGATTTTATTTTATTGATGGTTGTTTATGGATGTTTTCTCAAAGGGACGTTCCAAAAATTCCTCTATCTTCCTCTCGAAATTTAAATTTCATCTCGAATCTTTTCAATACCGTACTGTATCAGTATCAATTTTCTTCGACGACAAGATTTTCAAGTGTTACAATGTACTTGCACTCTATTTCGATCATGATAAAAAGAATTTTCACTTTCCCAAGGAATGGAAATTCAATTGAAAACTTCGCCGTTACATGAAAATCACAACACAAGGTGGAGGGCGAATATTTTTAAGGTGTGAAAAACATGCCTTTTGGGGTTTGGAGAAATGCAAGTGGATATATAAATATACAAACATATATATATATGTATATATATGTATATAGGGTTGTATACATACCTGGTTTATAGGGGTTTTATTTTATTGATGGTTGTTTATGAATGTTTTCTCAAAGAGACGTTTCCTTGATTTAGAGATAAATTTTATGTAGTGTTCTGTATTTTTGATCAATCCAAAAATTTTTTGTTATGATTGTTTATCATCTGCAAAATTTTTAAATCTTTTCTATTTCAATGAGTCAAACACTTTTACTTATTATATTCCAATTTTTTGCTTTAAGATAATTTTTTCTTAATGAGCAATGTGTTGTACCCAAATCATCATCAAAGTGCAACGGTGGACAGATCTCAGCACATTTTTTATAATAAATCAATGTTTAATAAAAAATATAATTAGAGCAAAAAATTGAATACCACAGTCTCATTTTATTTATTTTTTGAGTATTTTGCTTCATAAATAAATTTCCAAAAATTATTTCAGTAATTCTTCTTCAGAATCTTTTTTTCCAATTAAGAAATTAATATTTTTGGACTTCATTTAGGGCTAAAGTTAAATAGTGTTTAATTATTTAAATTTAATGTTACTAAAATTAAATTAATAAATTAAATATAAATTAAGTGATAAATAAAATGTTTATTAATTTGTTTTAAATTTGTTATATGCAACTGAATTATTAATTGAATTCAGAATTGCATAGCTCAAATATTGGTTTATAATCTTAAAAACTATATACATTAATTCATTTAATTTATACTTTTTTTCATAAGTATCTCCTGGATTTTTTCATTACATTTCAGGTTTCTTCCTATATTTTCATTGTGTTATAAAAGAGGATAAAATGAGATTTATTTCAAAGCATTTCAAGTATTTTTAAAAAGATTCCCAAGGAAGTTCCTTCACATGAGATTATATTTTGTGGATAATCGAATTTCCACACGAAATCCATTTATGAATACATTTCGAGAATAAAAGTAACTCAAAATATATATTCACTCTTGGGCATTTGGAAAAATGGAAAAATGGGAAAATAATTGCTGGATAATAAAGAAAGATTTAAACATTTTTAACTTCACGTAGGGTAATTTATAGTAAACGAACAAAATTCAAAAATGAACTTTTTTTATATCTTTACGTTTTGAAGGTTTCTGTACATTTTGGCACATCTTAAAAAATGGATATATGTATGTGTGTGTGTGTGCGTGTATGTGTGCGGCTACAAATTTTCGTCGACGATTTCGGGAACACCGATCAACCGATTTGAATAATTCAAAAAACATTCTTTAGGTTTATGATTGATTAGGTTTTGGCGAAGGCAGGTCTAGCCGTTCCGCAGAAACGAGACAAAAAGTGCCAAAAAACGTAATTAGGTTTTTGAGAACAAAAATGTCAATTTTTTTCAAAAATTTTAAAATGATCAAAAATATATTTGTCTCAAAAGTTTCGTAAAATTTCAAAGTCTTTTTTTTAACTTTAATTTTTGGTACGGGAAGTTCAAGCAATTTGCCTTAAGACACATTGCTATGCACCACTAGTTTTTTTATAGCCGACCAAAAATCTGTGAAATTAATAATAAACGAAATTTTGTATGTTTTCCATTGACTAATTTTTTAAAATATACTATTTGGCTTTATTAAGTTATAATTATTTACTTAAACAAGAGTTTTAATATATATTGTTGAAAATTATATAAAAATATAAAAAAAATCTAAATTTTAATACACCAAACAAATATGCTTCGTTTCAGATATAGGTGTATTTATTTATGCATAGATCATAAATTTTCTAGAGTATTCATAGTACGATTATTTTTCGAAAAAAAGTAAAAAAAAATTTATTTTTTTTATTTAACTCGTATATAATTAATATAAAATTACAAATTTTTCACAATTTTCAATTACAATCATTTTCTTTTATTAATTAATAAGTTCTTCGTCTATTTTCGACAAATCACACATTTCAGATAATTTATAAATATAAGGAGCTTTTAAATTATGCGTTCCTATATAATAAGAAAATGGACAATGGAACATCAAATCTTCATATGACAAAAAAACTTTACTATGAACCACAGGAATTTGTGCCAAATTCGCGCAAATCCCAGTATAATAAATATCCTCCAAATTAAATAATGGCGTGTTCAAGGCAGTTTCATACAAAGCCAAAGCTGTTTCTGGAGTCATCAAATATAAAGGTCCAGATAAATAATTTGGAAACACGGTGGAATTATACATATACCTTGGTGTATAATATTTACTTCGTCCATTTTTAACAGGTTTCATACCACGAAACCTGGAACCCATCAACAACTTCGAAGGTTCCTGGAAATAATTCAGTTTGTACAACAATTTGTACAGATTCAAATACACATCATCATCAGATTTCAATATGAATTTTGTTTTATTCCTGCAGTTGTTCGAGATCCATTTCAGCATCATACCAACTTTGATGGATAAATTTTTAAAGGAGTCGATGAAGTCTTCTTGGATGATATCACCATATTGCATATTTTCAGCTAATATCTCGTTCTGCAAAGATTCATTACCATTTGGTAAACCAAGTACAAACAAAACACGTACTTTTACCCCTTGGTTCCAATTGCGGCTGAAATTACTTGTCAAAAATGTTTCATCAACTTCGTCCCTTCTGGAAGACATCAGAAGGTACTCATAATATCTTTTCACCGATCCAAGTCTAAATTTTGGATAAGGTGCATCTGGTTCCATAACCATGTATTTGTGCAAATTTTTCTTCTGGACAATTTCGAAAAACTTGGAAAAATTGAGTTTATCCATGTTGCCCCAAGTTGAACGAATTGCAGTTCTTTGATTGAAGTTATTAGTTGCAGAACAGACCATGATTAATAAGTCGGTAGGTTCCATAGCCCTGCTTGGTTTTTGAATAAATGTTGAAGAATTTGGTTTTAGGTATAGTTTTAAATCTCTACTTGTGTTATACCAAAATGTGAATTTGTCGTCGGGTAATCTGTTGAATACGGATGATCTGTATATTATTAGAATAAAGATTTCAGCAACTATCATAATGCAAAACACATAAACTGTTTTGAACCACATTTTTTGGCAGAATCTTAATTTATTTAGATGATTGTAACAAATTCAATATAGTAGGAACATTTAACATTTTGTTATTGACAATAATTCATTTGTTTTTCAAACAACTAATTTCAGTGCACCAAATTGATCATGAGATTATCTATTATTGGAACAAACCTTTCAATTTCAAAAATAAAAAAACAAATGACGAGCTGCGCCACCAAGTTATTTTTGGAGTGTTAATTTGTCAACAAATAATTATCCAATGCGTTTTGCAACAGTCAAATTTATAAAATACATAATCTGTGCCTTCATACTATTCCAGATACTACTACTTCATCATTTCAACTACCATGTATCATCACTTATAAATAAATTATTATTTGATGAAACTGATGTCGAAAGATTTTCATATTGGCTAAATGCAAACAGAGATTTAAAATTGTATGTAAAACCAAAAATTCTAACTTCTTTACAAGAACCACGATGGACCAAGAGACCTGTATATTTATTAGTCATAGTTTGTTCAGCTTCTCAAAATTTTGAAGCCAGACAAGCAATTCGTTCGACTTGGGGAAATATTTCTAGATTTGATTATCAGAAATACTTGAAAATTGTTCACCAACATGGACTTCAAGATATTATATTTTCTGAACCAGAGTTTCCTAAGAAAAGTTACAGGACACGTTCCTTGCACAATTTTTACAAATTCTTGTTTAACTATGATTACGATAAATATCGAGGAGATTACAGAAAATATGATTTAAAATTACCAACATCCAATAAAACAACTGCTGGTCAGGATCAACTACAAAATCAAGACGTTGGTGTAAGAGTATTGTTTATGTTAGGTGTGAATAATGTAGATGCTATAGTTCAAGATGAAATTCGTTTAGAAAACAAATTGTTTGGAGATATCATCCAAGAAGACTTTATAGACACTTACCAAAACCTGTCTATAAAAACTGGGATGATGCTCAAGTGGATTTCTAAGAACTGCCGGAAAAATGTGAAGTACATCATGAAAACTGATGATGACGTATACGTCAACTTGTACAAACTGGTGTTCAAGTTACAAAATATGAAAAAGCATCATGAACTATTATTGGGAAAGTTGATTTCTAATGATCAACCAAGTAGGTACAAACAAGGCAAATTTTATTCGCCAGTACATATGTATCCACATGATTTTCACCCAAATTTTCTCAGCGGATCTGCTTTTGTAATGAGTATGGATACTGCTCTAAAAATTTACCAAATAGCTTTAAATATGCCAATATACCATTTGGATGATGTTTACTACACAGGATTATGTGCACTTGTTGCTGGTATACCAGTTGTGAACAGTAAAATCTTTACTAACGAAAAAGTTTTTATGGGATATTGTGAATTTTCTTACCATGCTACATCACATAATTTGAATCCTAGTGAAATGTACCTATTGGCAAGTAGTTGTGATAAATTTGACTTTTTTGCAAACCTGTATCATTGATGGATCTGGAAAAAATATTGGAAGTGGAAACATGGAAGATTCAGGAACTTGGTGAAGACCTTCTAAGGATTGATTGAATTGTACTCTTAAATTAATTGGATTATAAGCATAATAAATGAAACAAGTAAACTACAGATATTACAATTAATAGAAAACATTTCAAAATCTTCAGAGATTTTTATTACAGCCAATGACAAATACATTTATATAATTTACATGGCCAAAACCAAATGTTGTTACCAGAAACGTAAGGGCCATTTTCTCTGCATCTTGCTATACACTTTTATTGGCATAATATCATTTGTCAAATTTTTCTCCATAATATCTTTTGACAATTATATATATAAATGGCAGACATTAAGTTCTTTTATACTCAAAACTTGCAGAAGACTCCCAAGTCTTGCAATGTAGTTCCCTTCCTTGACTTTTACACGTAAACATCTAATATTTGTTTTTCCCTTAACATTTGTACAGTAGTCTACATCTTTTACTTTTCTTGTGAGCCTTTATTATTTGTTTAGGTTTCATGCTACAAATCGTTATGTCACATAAATATTTACAATTTATATCAGGATCACTTCTCTTTGCAAAACCTTCATTGTGTACCAGATGAATTTCTGCACCAACAGTACAAATTCCAGTATAAAACACATCTTCCAAATAGTGAATTGGTGTATTCAAGGCAGTTTCAAATAATGTAAGAGCTGCTTCCAGGGTCATCAAATAGGAACATCCTCTAAGGTAATCTGGAAAAACTTTGTAGTCGTACATATGTTTTGGTGAATAATATTTACTTCTACGGCTGCTATATGGTTCCTGGTTTGTGACTAATAATCCCATGAGCATAATTGGTTGTCTGTAGATGTATATTAATTCATTTACTAATTCATGTATGTTCAAATACACATCATCATCTGCTTTGAGAATGTATTCAATGTTGTCATTGTGGTTTGTCCAAATCCATTTTAACATCATGCCAACTTTGATAGTAAGATTTCCGTAGGAATCAATGAAGTCTTCTTGGATAATATCACCATGTCTCTTATTTTCTGCTAAAATTTTCTTTTGTGTTTTATTATCACCATCAGGTAATCCCAGAAGAAATAATATTCTCATGTTGATATTTCCGATTTCACTATTAGTGTTACGAATATTGCTGCCAGTATCATTTCCATATTTCTCTTCAAGATATTTTTTATAGCTCAAATTATTTTTATTACCCCATGTTGACCGAATTGCCTTTCTAGCTTCAAAGTTTCTTGTAGCAGAGCAAACAATTACCAATAAAAAAATTGGTTCTATTTTTTGGACAGGTTTTTGAATAATAGTATCTGTATTTGGCTGTACATAAAGCCATAAATCTCTACTGGCGTTGTGCCAATAACGAAATATTTTATCACCACTAATAACACAGTGTTTTGGTTTTTCTACATTTGTGAATAATGGTTTTTGGAACTTTAGTATTATAAATACCTTTATAAAAATTATACTAGAAAATATATATTTAGCTTTGAGCCACATGGAGGAATAATGGATACAGAAATCAATAGATGAATAAAATTGACATTAAGAAAATGTTCTGTTGGCGTTTGTCATTTGTTTCAAAAAATTATGACAATAGAAAAATTGGTACTACTGGAAGTTGTGAAGAAGATTTCTTTGGTTATAAATTTACATTTTTAACTTATGTCGTATATTCTCCTTAAGATAAATTTTAGTCATCGTGCCTTAAGGCAACTTGCTGGAACTTCCCGTACCGTAAATAAATGTTCGAAGAATATTAAATGTTTTCAAATAGATTATTATAAATATCGTAACATTGTCTAATATTTATGAAAAATATATAAAATAAATTGCAATGTTAAAATTATTTGTTTGAACTATTTAGAACTTTAGTCAGAATAAAATAAAAATCGGAATTATTTTCGATACACAACAAAAAAAAATTTTGAAAAAAGAAATTTCAAATTTTGAGATCAATTCTTTGTTCAGAAGCAATTGTTTCGCTAACATAAGCAGAAAGTTTTTTAAATCATACAAATTGGATGCTTAGTTCTCTCAGAATCTGGCATTTTTTGCACAATTAGCTCGATATCTCCAAAACGGCTTGATCTGCCTTCACGAAAAACTAATCACCACTTTTCCTCACCATTACAATTGAAATGTTTTTTTTGATCATTCAAAACGGATTCTTCTCTCAAAAAAATTCATTCATCATTTTCTGCACTCTTTGCTCAGTATCTCTGAAACGGTTGGACCTGCCTTTGCCAAAAACTAATCAGCACATTTCCATATCAATAGGAATCGAATGTTTTTTTTTGAATTTTTGAACCATTCAAATCGGTTAATCCGTGGGCCCAGAAACGTGTACGAAAAATTGTTTCCTTACATACATACACACACATCCATTTTTTCTGAAGTATGCCAAAATGATTAGTAACCTTCAAAACGTGAAGAAATGTAAAAAATTTTGATTTTGATTTTGGGACGATGTTAAAAATTTCTTTGGATTTATATGAATTTTTAAAATATAATCATTGGTTCTAAATTTACATTTTTAATTCAAGACGTGTATCTTCATTAAGACAAATTTGAGTTGAAAAAAAAACAATAAACGAGAAAATAGCTATTACCAGTTTTTATATATTTTGGCAGTAATTTAAAGTATCCTTTATTCATAGATTTTTTTTTTTCAAATAAAACAAACCATTCAGTACTGATCTTTTCTCATTCTAAACAATTTACAAAAGCCCTAAAAGAAAACGTATTCGACAAAAGCTCATTTTGAAAACTGCAAAGTACGAATCAATATTTATTTATTCCTTCCAATGTTGGTGTTGGAAATAAAAGAGAATACTGAAACTTTTTTCGAAGTGGTTTCGTTTTAAAAAAATAATATCCATTGAGAGGACGAAAAACGGAACGTTCGGATAAATAAAAAGTGTTGTTTTAATGAGCACGAGTGCTAAGTACTTTTTAAATGGTGAGGAAATTTGCATTTTTGTAACTTTTATGTAAATCAAACTGAAGTCGTATATATATATATATATATATATATATATATATATATGATTTTTTACAAAAAGTACTTACATGTGACTCCTTTCTCCAAATCTTCATAATAACCACACATGGCAAGTTGCTGAAGTACAGAGGTTGGCAACTGGCATAGTTGTTCAACACGTTTTAAACGACATGTTATTAGTTCTGCATCCCTGAGATTTCTGTCACAGGGCCTAAAAAATAATAAAATTTATATGTAATATATTCTAACACCAGAATTAAGAAGACTAGCAGAATTATGGTCAATTAACTTGATCCAGTAAAATTTTATGTAAGAGTAAATACCCATTGGGGTAACTACAATATATATAATTATATTTAATTGAAGTCGATTAAAATAACTCATAGAATGTGACTAATATTCTGATTGTTTTCTAAAATAAGGAGATAAAATATGTAATGTATATTACTAGAAACTTTGCTGAAGAATCCATAGCCCGAAAGGGAATTTCATGAGCCAGTAAAATCTAATAAAGGATTTTCTTAATAAAGTAATGATAACTTAGGAGAATCCCATATGTTTCCTCGTTAATGATGTAAATTTGATATAACTTCTTATTACTAGAAACTTCGCTGAAGAATCCATAGCTCGGAAGAGAATTTTGTGAGCCAGTGAAATCCAATAAAGGATTTTCTTAATATATTAAAATCTCAAAGCAATAAATAACTTAGGAGAATACTATGTTTCCTTGTTAGTAAATTTGATGAAACTTTGCATGATAATAGAGTTTATGATCAAAGGCATCCTCCTACAACATTATTAAAGTGGATTCAAAAAAAAGTTATAATATTTTTTACTGTCAAACCTATCTTGGTTAGGGTCGTAGATAAAGATGGTTCTACAGTCTATCTATTTATGGAACATTTAAAGATAGTTCCATCCTAAGATGATTATTGTTGTAACTTTGCAAATTTCGAAACTTTCACAAATTCTATATATTGTGGCCTCCATATAGTTTCGATCATAAGTTTGCTTGTGAGACATTCTCATGTACAAAGTTTGAGGATATAAATTTCTGAAATAGTTTCTTGATTTCGTGTTTGTTTAATATTAATATAATATAGTAGATGTAATTTGTAGATATTTATATAGCGTTTGTATATTTATTTGCAGTATTATATTTATAATTAGACCAGGGTGTCCCAGAACTGAACGTGAAGTCGAAAGGGGCCAACGGTATTGACTAACTACCTGAAAAAAACTACAAAAAAAATTCACGTTGTTTGAAAAATATAAGTTTTTAAGTGCAACCTAGAGCTTTGGCAAAATTATTACCATTTTTGGGTTGATGTGGATAATTTTTAGAAATCTTATTAATTTAATTTTGTTAATTTTGTTAATTTGGAATCGCAATTGTCAAAAAGATTTATAGGAGCAAAGATAATAGTAATGACACACTTGGCCGAAGTTTTCAACTTCTCGTTGGACCATGAATTTAAAATTTTTGAAATCGGTCTACTTTAAAAGACACTCCATCAAAAAAATTACTAAAGTGTATGTGTGTATGTATTTGTGTGTTATTTTGCTAGTTCTTATTCAAATATAAACACCAAACTTTGTAGTTTATATAGTGTATATATAAACAGTGTAGTGCAGTTTACAAAAACTTTTCCAATTTTCATATTTCCCCAGGTCCCCGAACATTGCGTTTCCAGTTCGATACCGATTGCATTTTCCTTTTCCGACATAAGTAAAACACTGTAGATATTCGACGTGCATAAATGATAAGTCTGGAGATGTGTTTGTGGAAGAAAAGTGGATTTTCCGAAGAAGAATAGTGTAGTTTCTATGCATTTCCCAAGCCGCAAGTCGAAGCATTATGCAAAGAGCTTTGACTTTAACCCTGATGCATGCAGCTGCTCCTTGATCATATTGGAGACTGAATAATCATTAGAGGGAGGGCTGGGGGAAATATATATTAGATAGAAATAATGAATCTTATATTCGGTGTAACTTGAGATTTGGAATTTAAATGTAGTTCTTGTACCCAAACTCTCACTAGAGAAAAAGTTTCATTGTTCCATGAAGTGCTTCACTATACTACAAACTACAACTTTATTAAATATTGTTTTTTGGCAATGTAAAAGATACAAATTTTATTGAAATCAGAGATGAGCTGACTAGAATAATGTTATGGCAAGGCCATGTTACGCTCCAACTTCCACACATTATGCTACTGGATCATACTGAATGCTGTCAAAATGTCATGTCTTTGTTGTTTATTCAGGCGTTTTATACATAAACTGCAACGTCACTCGTATGTTATAAAGCCGGGTCAGAAACACCCTGTTATCTAATATCGTTTTTTGACATTTGAGCGGTTTCTAGGTTAGGTTTCGTGTCCGACAACCTGAGAAATACGCCTCGCTGCACATCAACCACATGACTTTTTTCAATATTTAGTATGGAAAGTTTTTCATAACATGGCCTTGCCATAACATTTTTCTGTTATGCGACAGAATCGGTTTCTATATTGATTCTGAAAAAAACATGTTTTGTTCAATTCAGAAACTAATTTACTGGTGTCAACTTGTTAGATGGCTCATAAAATAAAATTAAGTATGATCAGACTAAAAAAAACTTTTTTTAGGCAACAAAGACAATCTTATTACAGATAATGTTTTTATGGAATAAATTTTCCTCTAGCTCTCCTATTTCCATTTGTGACTGAATAATATCATTCCAATTTGCATGATGTTCCGTAGATCTAAGCCATGAAGGATAAAACGCCTTGCCTAAAAGGCTTTTGATTTATATGTGCGAATATGTACTTTTGCTAGTAAACAAATGTATGGAGACGTATAAATTCAAATGTGGATATGAGAAAATAGAGCAGGGACTGCCAAAATAGAAAAATAATAATAGATTATACCATGTCATTTGTCAAAAAAGAATTAAAAGTCCAATATGGTTTCAAAATTTTACAAAATTTTGGTACCGGATACAAATTGATAGAACTGGTCATTTTCTGCAAAATCAATGATAATTAATTAACTTTTCAATATCCCAAATTTAAATAATAACATTTTGTGCTTTCCTAATTTGGCTTTCTATGATAGAAAAAATGTTATTGAATTCCATTTCAATTAAGAAACTTTATCATTTTAAAAATCTATAGCATTTGAAGAAAATTTAGAACGTCAGTCTAACCTTTTAATCTGGAAGCACTGCATCGTCAAATGCATTTAACATTTAATTTTTCCTCAAAATTTACTACTCTCCACACTAAATTTTCGTATTTTATTACCATTTCCAATAAAATCAACTTTATAGTTTGAGTTTAAGGTCAAAGAGCACTTACACGAAATAATCTTACATAGCTCATGTTAAATTTATGTCTGTGCTCGTAAAACTGAAAGTTTTAAATTTCAGCAATTTCAGACGCCTCAAATTTACACAAAGCTATCAGAATAATAAATGAGAAGACGTAAACGTTGATGTTTCTTCATTTATTTCCAAGAGACATGAATAACAATGGATATGGGATAAGAAATTTTGTAAATTTGACTTGTTGAAAAAAATTTTTTTTTCATATTTTAAAAACATTTTAAAACTTTAAATGTTGGAAAAATTGAGAAAAATTCCCTTTTTTTAAAATACTGGTATAATTTGAAAACTTACAAATTTTTTGGAATTTTCTTAAAAATTAAAATGTTTTTTGAAAATTTTGTAAATTTTGAAATTTTTTGAAAGTTTTTTATATCCATACTGTAAACTAGTGGTATATGGCATCGTGCCTTGAGGCAAATTGCTGGAACTTCCCGTACCGTAACAAAATGATCGAGAAATATCAAATGTTTTCATATAGATTTTTATAAATATTGTAGCATTGTCTAATATTTATAAGAATTATAAAAACTGAATTGCAAAGTTGAAATTATTTGTTTATAGTATATAGAACAGAATTAAAAATAGAATCTGAATTATTTTCGATATACAAAGAAAAATTATATTGAAAAAAAATTAGAAATAATTTTTTCTCCAAAAGCAATTATTTTGTTGAAACAAGCAAAAAGTTTTTTGAATAACTCAAATAGGATGCTTAGTTTTCTCAAAAACTGCCATTTTTTGCACATTTAGCTCTGTATCTTCAAAATTGCTAGACCTGCCTTTGCTAAAAACTAATCACCTTTTCTCCCAATCATTACAAATTGAATGTTTCAGATCATTCAAATCGAATAGTCCGTTCTCTCAAAAACTCGATTTGTATTTTCTGCACTCTTTGCTCCGTATCTCCGTAACGGCTAGACCTGCCTTTGCCAAAAATTAATCAGAACATCTCCCTATCAATAGAAATCGATTTTTTTTAACCATTCAAATCGGTTGATCCCTGCGCCCGAAAACGTGGACGAAAAATTGTATCCATACATACATACATACATACACACACACATCCATTTTTTCTGAGGCATACTAAAATGTTCAAAAACGTTTAAAAACGTCGAGAAATGTAAAAATTTTCAATTTCGATTTTTGGATTACAATAACTTACTTAGTTTCTCATATATTTCATATATAGGTAACAAATGTGAAATTTGTAACCAATTACTTCTATCCAATGAGCATAATTATCTTCATTGAACATAATTAATGATATACTCATTATACATGTTTATCTATAGATATACTATACCTACAAAAAATATACCTTAATTGGGCAAAACTTTTTTATAACTACAACTAGCAAACAATTTTGAATCTACTACTTAAAATAATTTTACCAGAACTCAAGCAGTTTTTAGAATGTCGAACGCTTTAGAAATCTGATATATCAATTAATTGTTTAGATTGTGATTCAATATATGTTGGTAAAACTAGCAAATTCAATCAAACATCTTCAAATACATGAAGTTTGAAAAATATTAAACAATTCAAAGCTATACTCATTTAGATAGACCTAATAATCTGACTATTTTGTTTTCACGATGGTTGCTTTATTCTACTAAACCAAAATAGTATTTAAAAGTACGAACTTTGCGATACAAAAAGTTTGTATTTGGATTATATTTCCATTAAATAAATTCACGTTTTCTATGTTACGCTTAATTATTACACATTGTTAATACACATGTCAGCATCAAATTCAAAATTACATAAATATATTTTACAAAAGAAAATACAACCCACATCCAAATATTATGTAAACATGACATAACATTGAATAACTCTGCGGCCATACATTTCTGTTCAAACAATGTTAACCCGGCTTTTGCAAATGTCAAACAACCCATGTTAACAACTATTTTACCCGACAATAATTAATTTTATGGTGACATGAAGACAAATAATTTCATACATTATTAATTCGAACAATTGCATACATATTCTCAATAATAGAACGTAATTAGTATTTCAGAATTTAAATGCGTTGGAATTCATTTTACGCTAAGTTTGATAAGACAATAGACGTGGATTTAATTTTATTGTAAATGAGTGATTAATATTCTTGACTGGCAAGTGGTGATGACTTAAACAGGGGTTGGAAACCTAAGAATTTTAGACATTCAGAATATTTTACTTTTTAGCCTTTCTACGTTTGAATTTAGTTGACTATTCAAATTTGTTTTTATTTTTTTGCAGCCTAATAAGAATACTCTTAATCAGAAGTTTCAGTATTAATTTGATTGAGCTTTCTACTCAGTACAAAAAATTACAAAACACATTCACAAAATTAAGAGACCGATTCTGCCGCATAACAGAGAAATGTTATAGCAAGGCCATGTTATACTCCAACTTCCATACATTATGCTACTGAATCATACTGAATACTGTCAAAATATCATGTATTTGCTGTCTATTCAGGTGTTTTACGCATAAACTGCAACGTCACTCGTATGTTATGAAGCTGAGTCAGAAATACCCTGTTATCTAAGATCATTTTTTGACATTTGTGCGGTTTCAAGGTTAAGAGAAATACGCCTGACTGCACACTCAACTACTTAGCTTTTGTAAATATTTAGTATAGAAAGTTCTTCATAACATGGCCTTGCCATAACATTTTTGTGTTATGCAGCAGATCGGTTCCTAAATGTGCTAGAGTTAAATATGTTGAAGAACCGTGAAGTAGTCCATGGTTTTAACTTGATATCATACCATTTTCAAATTGAGTAAAATGTGTTTTAAAAAAATCGTAGATTGTAGACCTTGGTTTTAACTTGATATTCTAGTTTTGCATTAGATTTTATTATTAATTGTTAGAATGTTTATTTAAATACTATAAATTTTAACACTAATCTGAATTTTATTAATAACATAAAAAAATCAATTATTAATTACGAAGAAACGGTCTGGCTGATCTTTACAGTCGACACCAACTGATATCTAAACTTTGAAAAATTTTGATATATTAAGTTTCTGAATTTTCAAAATTGATTGAGGATTTTTGTCGACAATGTTTACAAAAATGTTTGCTCTTATCTGCTTTTTTATTATGGAGAAACGGTTTTGCTGATCGTCACACAAAAACTAATTACCAAATGTACTTATGGAAGTTCGTGATTTTTTTTATCAATTTATTTTGTTAATCAAAACTGAAGCAGTATTATTTACAAATTTATTGCAAACTACAAAAAAATGATATAAAGTTCAGGACTAACTGTTTCAAATTGGTGCAGCAGTTTTTGAAAAAACTGTCGGTAGAAGATCAAATATTTTATTACATCATACATATTATTATCACATATTTTTTTCAAATAAGAATGTCAAACGATTCAGAATGACTGAAACGTCGAGAAACAAATTTCCTTCAAGAAGTTATTAAAAACTAACTTTCTATAAATTTGATATAACTACAGGCTACAGAATTTATTATATTTAAAGTAATTCTCCTTGGAAATATTTTATCCAATTTTCATCAATAAGTGAGAATAATCCTAGACATCCAAGTATCGGCAATATCCTTCCAGATTCTTTTATCTCCAAGCAAAATCATTTAAAACCTTTAAAACATTTTGAATAAATTTACGAAATTACATTTGTTATCCAGACAAAATATTCACCTAAACTTTTTTTCCCCAAATTCATTAAACCGACAACCCCTGATGCATAAAATCAACAGCAAGAAGTGGTGCGTGATTTGAATGAAAACCTCTCTGGCGCAAAATATTTCATTAGAAGCTAAAAACAATATTAATTCAAAACCAGGCAGACGACTTCATTAAATTTTAGTCCGAGAGCATATGACGAAAAGCGAATATTCACTCGTGTTTCATTATAGTTGACCCCAGGTTTTGCCAAAAAAAAACTTAGGCGAATACCCATCAAATAGTACGATTCCCAGATATAATTTGGACTCGAAATTGGTTTAGATTTTTTTGCAGTGGTGGACAAAACAAATTATCAACGCATGTCCTCATTAATTTTCATCAAATATCATCTTGAATTTTTGCAATCTGTTAAGCCGTTTTTGGGGAAACATCTATACACAGTGTTAATGAAAGTCAGGTCCGTATGTCCGAAGTCACCTTCGTATGAATTATAAATATTTGAAGTAAATTGAAGATCTACTTTTAGTTAAAATGAAAAATTTTAAAAATATAAAATTGTATGTGAATTGTATTGTAAAAAAGCCATGATAAAGCGCTCAATTATTTTGTTTTACATTTTGAATTTGTTTTTAGACCACATTAAACATTATAAAATAAATACAATTTGACAAGTACATTAGTTTATTTGAAATGATTTTAGATTTATTGAAAAATTACAAATAGGAATTATATTTATTAAATTAACTTTAAATATTATCATTGTAATTTCGTTTCAAAAATGTCACAAATAATTGACAATATAATAAAATCTTCGCAAGATATCCGAGATTACAGAGGATTAGTGCTTAAAAATGAAATGAAGGTCTTATTAGTGAGTGACCCTATGGCCGAAAAGGCAGCTGCCTCATTGGGTGTCAACGTAGGATTTTTTAGTGACCCAGAAGAGTTGCCAGGACTTGCTCATTTCTTGGAACACATGCTATTCATGGGCACCGAAAAGTACCCAGACGTACATGAATATATGAATTTTATTATTGACCATGGAGGTTATTTTAATGCCAGTACAGATACCCAAGAAACAAAATATATGTTCAGCGTGGCACCAAACGCTTTTAAAGATGCTCTAGATAGATTTTCTCAGTTTTTTATCTCTCCCTTATTTAAAAATGAAACTGTCGAGAAAGAAGTGAATGCTGTTAATTCAGAGTATAAAAAAAATATTCCTAATGATGAAGTGAGAGCAGACGCTATCGATCAGTTTTTGTGCAATCCATCACATCCATACCATCACTTTAGTGTCGGTAGCAAAGATACCCTTTTAGATATTCCGAAATCGAAAGGCATAGATACCAGAGAAGCTTTAATAAAGTTCCATGAGCAATGGTATTCATCGAATATAATGGTATTAGTAGTAATAGGACAAGAAAACCTAGATGAGTTGCAGATAGTAGTCGAAAATCTGTTCGAAGCTATTCCAAATAAAAATATAACAGCACCCATATGGACCGACTATCCTTACACTCCTGAAATAATGGGTATGATCACCAAGGTAATGCCAATTCGAGATCGACGACTATTTAGAATAGTATTTCCACTTCAGGATCTGAGAGCTTATTATTGTGTAGCACCAGATGTGTATCTAACACAACTTTTTGGGCATAAAGGAAAAGGAAGTATATTGTCGATCCTAAAAAATCTAGGCTGGTGTACAGATTTAACAAGTTATTCTGACTCAGAATTTGGCTTCGGTTTTTTTGTAATTATTATTAATATGACAAAAGAAGGGTTGGATCATACTGGTGACATAGCCACAATAATATTTCAGTATATAAATTTGTTAAAAAAAGAAGGTCCGCAACAATCATTCTACGATGAATGCAAAGCGATAACAAACATAAATTTTAAATATGCAGATAAAGAGAATGAAATAATGTATGCATACAAGCTTAATACAAATATGCTTTTGTACCCACTTCAAGAAGTCCTAATTGGGGCGCATACAATGCGCAATTTTGATTCTGCATTAATTCAGTCAATTGTAGAAACATTTACTCCAGAAAATTCTCGTATATATCTATTTGCAAAAGAGTATGAAAAAGAGTGCGACAAAAATGATGAACCATATTTTGGTATTGTGTACCATACAGAAAAAATCAGTAATGAGAAAATGGCAGAACTTGTAAATGCTGGATTCAACCAAGATTTGCATTTACCTCAACCAAACCGTTTCATTCCTACAGAATTTGATATGTCACCTTTGCGAAATGTTACACCGTATCCGGAAATAATGATAAATAATCCTCAGTTGCGGCTCTGGTTTAAGCAAGACTCCGAATTTTTATTACCCAAAGTAAACATTAAGCTAAAACTTGTACTTCCACTTTTGATAATAGATCCTTCAAGTTATAATTCAACATGTCTCTACATAGAAGTACTTCAAGATATACTTAAAGAAGAAATGTATGATGCTAGAATAGCAGGTTTAAATTGGCATTTCAACTACAGCGATCAGTTTTCGAGAGCAATTACTTTTAATTTTGAAGGATATAATAGTAAAATGTTTATGTTTGTATCTACAATAATGGAAAGCATGAAAAATTTTAAAATCGATCCAAATCGTTTTAATGTGATGTTAGAAAATCGCAAGCAGGAATTGAAAAACTTTGAAGTCGGCTTACCGTATTTACAGACCTTCTATTACTTGAATTCTTTACTAAGTGAAACGTTTTGGACAAATGAGGAAATGCTGCATGAATGCGACATTGTAACTGCACAGTCTTTACAGGATTTTATACCAAAGCTTTTTTCTCAGATGTATATTGAAATGTTGGTCCATGGCAATTATAATAGATCCCAAGCAATGGAAATAAGTAAGGTGATTGACAATCATTTCGACTTACAAAATATGTTACCGATTAACGCTAAACAAAATCGTATAAATAGAGAGCACAAATTACAGGAAGGTAAGCAATGTGTATTTAAAGCTGAACATAAATATCATTCGAGTTCTTGCACGACTAATTTGTACCAATGTGGTATAAATGACACAAAAAACTGCGTCCTCATGCAGCTACTCGAGCAAGTTATTCAACAGCCCTGTTTTGATCGCCTAAGAACAGAAGAACAATTAGGTTACATTGTGCGTGCATTAATTAGGACCAGCTGCGGAACTCAAGGTTTAGCCATATGCACCCAATCCGAAAAGCACCCGGCATACGTTGACTCAAGGATAGAAAGTTTCCTCAAACATTTTACAACCATCATGGAAAAGATGACACGCGACCAGTTCAAAGTATACAAAGAAGCACTAGAAGTCAGCGTTCTGGAGAAACCTAAAAATCTATCGCAGCAGACCGAAAAGTTTTGGCGAGAAATAGTAAATCAAGAGTACTATTTCAACAGAGATGTCATTAACATGTCGTATCTTAAGAATATTAAAAAAGATCAATTATTTTCTTACTTTAAGGATTATATTGATGCGTCTGGATTACTGAGATCTAAGTTGGCAATATACGTTGAATCAAAACTACATCCAACAGATGGTGTAGGGGAAGGAATTGAGGATACTAGTGATATGAGTGATTATGTTGAAATAACAAACCCGGTATTATTTAAAAACAGCATGGATTTGTTTTCGATTAGAAAACCTCGTATAAAATTCACTACAGATGCCATTGAAGCATGTAATTAATTAAATTTATTAAATGATTTTTTTTGTAAACTTGTTTAATTTGATTATTTTCATTCTTCGAATGTTTAATTACGGTACGGAAAGTTTCGGCAATTTGCCTTAAGGCACGATGCCATGCACCCAACTAGTTTTATTCTAATTAAACCATTTTCGTGGGTGATTATCCCTTAGACTAAGCCACCCTTGAATAAAAATACAAGGGTGCACAAGCAAATACTTGTTGAAAAATTTGCATTTTGTTTGAATAAAGTTTTTAGGATTAATAAGTCTCTTTGTGAAGTATTGTTTTATTTAAAATGAATTGTTATACAGCTAAATAACATTATTTTTAATCAAGGTTTGCAATGAATAGACATGATTTTTATGTATGAATGGGGTAATTATTAATTTTGTTAATAATGGGGTAATAATTAATTTAGAAATATATCAATATCTATACTAAAAGTATTTTGTTGCATTATAGTTTTTATTGGTTTTGAGCTCTTGTATTAAGTTTATGATATCTGAATAATGTTCTTGGATTATTTAATTATTTTATAGGAGTCATTGTTAATTTTAATTTAGATTCGACAGTTGTTTTATGTAACCTCTAAAAAAGTTTACATCTGGGTTAAAAAGGACCAACTTAACCTTTACCCTAGCAAAGTTGTAAACATTAAAACATAGTAAAGAAAAATGTTAATTAAGTTAAAAAAAAACAATTTTACAAGAGATTTACATAAATGGTTATTCCAACTCTGTCCATAAATATTACTGACGACATACCAGATCAAGGTTATATACAGTCTTATGCAGTAAAATAAATATACCCATAAATTGTATATTTTGTATTGGTTGAATAATTTAGCTATTATTGCGTAAAATCCTTCTAAAATTAAAAATAAGAGCTTGGACCTGCTTGCACCCTGGCCGTCCCATTTCACCCAGCCTATGGTAAAAAAAAATCATTTGACAATTTTTTGAACAACTGCAAAAAACACATTTCTACAATGATTTAGCTAGGAGTTTCACTGAACATATAGTCAGATAGTTGCTTGTTTGATATGTGTTATTTGTTGTGATATAATAATTAGTTTGGTTTTCACAATATAATTGCACAAAGTCAAATTGGACCTCTGTGTCCCGCTCTATCCTACGAGGTCTGTTCAAAAAGTACCCGGAATTTTCGTTTTTTCAAAAAAATATTTATTTATTCGTCTACATTAATGTGGTCCCCTTCAAAGTAGTAAGATGTGGACCCCAGATATAATACACTTATGCCAGCGTTTTTTCCAATTTTCGAAGCACCCTTGATATTCACTTTTTGATATGTCCTTGAGCACTCTCAGCGATTTTCTTCAATCGAGGAAAACCGCCGTCCTTTCATGGGTCTCTTCAACTTTGGGAATAGGAAAAAGTCACACGGAGCCATATCTGGTGAATTTTTGCACCTTGCAACACTTTATTTCATTTTTTACGCAAAATTTAATACAAATTCTTTGACTTTTCAATTCTTCCATTGTAAAAATCGCCGAGCTCAGAAAAACACGTCGAACCTTAGCGACTACCACAGACAAAGTAAACAGTGAATATAGCTGAAAATTTCATCATACTTTAGGGGCATGTATACCAACACAATAAAAAAATATATATATATCAACTATATATCCAACTTATTTAAACAAATTTTAAAGTCTCACATTACATCCTAGAAATCTTCTACCTCCAATAACGATTCGAGTCGATTATAACGAGCAGAGATGAAGGAGCCCCCGAATCGTCGCCCTCATTTTCGGCGCAAACGTTTCTTAATTGCCCTTGTTAAAACTTTTCCAATTACGTACCGAACGAAACTTTTGCTTCCTGATTCTACTATATATCAAGGTATATGATATAAAGGTGGTAAATCATATCATAAACTTCCACCAAGTATTTCTATTGATAAATATAGACCCCCGCGCCGAAGGTCTTGGTTTGAATGGTTAGATAGATTCTTGTCGAAGTTGGGCATGGATACATTTGGAGATATGATCTATATATACTCGTATATATATATATATATATATATATATATATATATATAAATTTGTAAAATACTTTTTGTGTTGCACAAATATCGTGACATGATTAATTGAACACGGTTGACTTGTATTATAAATTATTAAATACCTCTGTATAGATACCCTTCTGTTATGTAGATGTAGATAATTTATTATTTCCTGAATATGAAATGAACGATTTGATATATATATATATATATATATATATATATATTATATATATATATATATCTTATATATAAAAATAGGCTCATGTTAGATTACTAAAACTCGAAAACGACTGAACCGATTTGGCCAGTTTTAGTCTTGAAATATTCGTGCAGATCCAGAGGTTGTGGGAAAAGTCAGAAATTATTTCAAAATCGTCTAGAAACTTAATATTTTTAATTTAATTTTTTTTACAGAAACGTAATTCAAAATCAAACATTGCATGCGGCTCATATGTCATATGTCAAATAGTTGTGACAGATTATGTTCAATCAAATTAATAGATAGCAAATTGACTTAATAGGATGTTTTCGATGAATATCATTTATTATAGTAAGTAGTTTTATTTATACACACGAACATTATCAATTTTTGAAGTATCTAGAAATTGTTTACAAATACTTTATATGATAAAACAACATTTGCTGGGTCAGCTAGAATATAATAAAAATCTACTCTCATATCGACAGCATAGAGCAAAATATTAATCTCCACTTGTATGTTTATTATAAAAGCATTGCTTTTAATTTTTAATTTGAAAAAAAGTCGATTGTGGATATATACCAACATTAAATTTATTGTTGCATATTATACAGTTTACCAAATTTTAGTATATTAGTTTTAAAAATTTGTTCAACAAATAAATGTAATCACATGTATAATGTAAACAAAAAATTATAAAATTTCCAAAAAAAAATTATTAAACTCTAAAAATCCCATAACACTGGAAAAAGGATTACCATACAGTCAAAAATTAGCTAAAAAGTCAATGAAGCTAATAATTTTAAAAATTAAAATCTGCAAAGAAACAATAATTGGCATTCAAAATACATTCATTTCATTTTAAAAAAAACTAGCTTGAAGAATAAAACATAAGAACAAAAAGATCAGTTAAAAACTTCAAAAATTAAAAAATGTAGTGTTCTTTAGAACAAATTAAAGTTTCTAAGTACTATGTTGACAATTATAGATGATCGTTCGAGTAAATTCGAACCAGTAGAAGTTTTCTCCTTTGTCAATGATGCTTTCCAACAAGTATTACTAATTAAATTAATTAAGTTATATCAGATTGTTAGACTAATGCCATTAGGCACCGCAATCTTCGGTGGGGAAACAAGTTTATTATGCTTTCATCTACTAAATGTTTCATTGTAGAATTTCGAGGAGCTAGAATAATATGTACATATATATATATATATATATATATATATATATATATAAACCCCATAATCATTTCATGATCTACATAAGTGCTATGCAGAAACCAAAAAAATCGCAAAATATACCTGAACTGAAAAAAGAGAATAAAAAAAGTCAAATTGAAGAAAATTAATTGAAAGACATTGAAGAAGAAAATTAAGAAAAATATAAAATAGGATATAGATTATAAGATTGAATATGATATAAAAAAATAGTATAAAATGTAAATAAATAAAATGTAGAAGCAAGCTATATGCTCAGAGTAAGCGAGGCCAAATAGAAATTAAAAAAAAATTGTTTTCAAAATACAACACTGTTTATCACTGCTTTATGTAATCTATTCAACGTTTCGATGCAAACTGAGTCATTGTTTATAAAATAACCTGTGCCTTACAGATAGCCTAACAGAGTACGTTGTCCTCTCAGGTGGACAGCCGTCCCCAAGTGTTAAAAAAATGTTCAATTCTAATTACGAGAATTTTAAAGAAATAAAATTACAAGTTTGTTTAACAACATAGTTATTTTATATGAATTTCTAGCTCAGATAAATAAATAATGTTGGCTTCTCAAATTTATAACATTCTAACTAAAATATTATTGGCCTACGAAGAGTGATTTTTAGAGGATTTATAAAAGTACTTTGAAATTGGGATGATATGGGTCGCGCTTCTAAGTCTTATTTCTTACTGATTAATTATTTACACTTATCATTCATGTAATTCATGTTAAGGCAAAATGACATTTACAATTAGTTTTCGAATTAAAAATTTGGAAATATTATTGTGAAAATTTTAAAAGTTGCAAAATCTAAATTCTTGCTGATTAGGTCAGATATTCACACATAGTGGAATGCTCATGCAACTTTGAGATAAAATTTTGCTTAAATTAATAGTAATATAATATTATATGCTTATACCCTAAGTATTATATGCTATATTTCCTAATCAATAAATTTTAACATAATAAACAAAATAAATTTCTATTTAAATCAATGATGGTTTGTAAATATTCCGAAATAATATTAAAAAATGATTCGAAATTGTTGCTTTCTTCATTGGCTAATTAATATTTAATTTACACATTATAATTCATATAAAGTATATCACTCAAAGTATTATTAAAATATTTTAAACAATGTATTCATATATTTTACTAATTTATTTATCCATTTTCTGCTGCATAATTGTGTTATCTGAACAGTTTTCGAAGCAAATAAATCATTTAAGAAGTTTATTGAAGTACTAAGTGACGCAATCAATTCCGAGACGAATTTGCATTCTAAATTCGAAATTGATGGAAAACTTTAGTCAAATAAAATTATTGCATATTTATTGCATTTTTTCAATAAGAAATTATTATTTACTTAATCAGCTATATATCAACTAATAATAATAATTATAAAATA